CCCTACTCCCCCACCCCCGCCCAGGAATTACCTTCAGTGGAGAGCTGCCTTGTCCAAAGCCATGTGCCCTCCACAGAGATGGCAGTCAGTTTCCAGGGACGATAAAAGGCTTCCCACTGTGTCCCTTCAGGATGCCTCCTGAGGCCCTGTCAGTTCCCAGGTTCGTGAGGGTCCACAGCAGCCTTTGCTGCAAACTCTGCTCCTTTGCCCCCCCCAGGTGTTGCCCCCCAAAGCATGCCCTCAGTACACCCCTGCAGGCAAGTCCCCAACTCAGAGTCTGTCCAGGAACCCCCAGTCTCTCAGCCCACCCTGGCCTCCTGAGTGAGGGCATCAGAAGGATGGTGTGGGCAGAGGGAGGTTGACACACGTATACTCAGGCTCAGGCCTGCCCTACTATTCTATGTTGTGGTGGAGGAGCTCCCCACATGGAAACCCAGCCCCAGTTCCATTTCCCCCTCCATCTACCCTGGAGCCATGAAAATCAGCCATAGTCTCCTGGCACAACTGAAGCTGGCAGGCAGGTGCCTGAGGACCAGGGGTATCAGACTATCCCCAGGACTCATGGATCTCATCACAGGATAAGATGGGGTGAGAGCCCTGACCAGTAAGAGGAGTTCTCAACAGCTACCCTGAAGTCCTCAGCTCAGCTTCCAGTCATGAGTAATCACACCAGAGGGTTTGTTCCTAAGTTCTGGAGAGTCCATGGGGAGATCAGTAGAAACTGCCCTTGCCTGGGGAGTAGAGCTAGACATAGGCGCAGGATCCACCCCTGGCTATTTGGGGAGGAGGCAGGAGCAAGTCACGCCAGCCAGTGGTCTGAAGTCATGGGCTATTTCTGAGGCAGCTGCCCCCTCCCCACGGCCAAGGGCTTGGCAAAGGGGTTCCATGAGCACCTGGGCCTGGAGCCCAGCACAGCCCCAGGGAGGATACAGCCCACACAACACCCCCCTCGGCCTGCCCAGGAGCTGCCCTCTCTGCCCAAGGAAGTTTTAGCCCCTCCAGGGCTTGCCAGACACAGAGGGCCCCAGAGGCCAGTCAGGAGGCCAGCAGACACCCTGCAGAGAAGCTGCCAGATGGTGGCTTATGTGTATAGGAGCCCACAGGACTCTGACCTGACCCCTGCTTCAACAGCTGTTAGCAGCTCCCCCCGCCCCATTAGAGAGAAGACGGATCCAGCGTGCTGAGCACCCTGGGTAGGTGAGGCCACACCTGGAACCCTGGTCTCTGTGGTCAGTGGTGCCACTGTTGCTCAAGGCCTGCTTACACTGGCTTCCATGATGGATGGCTGCACCCCTACAGCTGGATCCACAGCCTGTGGGCTGGGTGGAAGGGGTACAGACTGCTCACCCCACACTGATACCACCCTTGACTCCTTTCAAAGCACAAGGGTGTCCTTACCTCTGTCTTCCACTGACAACCTTGCCTCCTCTAACAAGCTACTCCCAGCCCAGCAGCAGGGCACGCTGAGGACAGAGGAGGCCCAGGCCCCCTCCCCTCACTGGCACCACCTTCTCTTGCCTCTGGCCAGCCCATCAACCCACTCTGCAGGCCACAGTGGGAATGCTCAGCCCACCACTTCCAGCTGCGGTGGGAGCCTTAGACCACAAACCAGGAAGTGGGGGGGACAGAGATTGCACAAGCCCCCGCACTCAGGCCAGTACATCTGGAGAAATGGGTTGCAGGTGCTGTCCCTGTCTCTTCCTGGGGCAGGGGCCAGGCTACCCACCAAATTGTACTCTTATCCAAGAGGTGGAGATAAAACACTCCTCTGGGACCCTCTGGACTCTCCACGAGTTCTACACAGTACATGCACCACTTGTGAAGTCAAACTAAATGTTAGCATAAAAATCACCCCCTTCTCCCTGCCCTCATCAGTAAGACAGGGGTGCAACGAGGGCCTCAGTTTCCCTCATAGACTGGGGGGAATAGTGGGGGATCTGTTCCTACAGGAAGAAGAGTCGTGGTTTGGGCAGAATGGCTCCAAGGATAGGAAGGAAGGGGGTGGGGTCACATCCAGGCCTGCCTTATGAACATGGATTATGACACATTGTCCCCCTCTCCCCCGGAAGTGGCACACAGTGCCACAAACAGCTGGTGGCTTCCAGCAGGCAGCTGCTTGCCCCTCCCTCCTCAGGAAGTCCCAGTTGGGGCCCATGTGGGTGGGATGGCTGGGCTCTGGCCTGGGCCAGAGTTCAGCCCCTGAGCTTGTCAGAGGAGACGAAGCAGTTGGAGACCAGGGTCCTGCCCTGCAGGCCTTGCCCCAGGACCAGGTGGTACTCTCATCTGAGGGTCCCAGACACAGGGCCTGTGCCTCTTATCCTGCCCAGCACCTACCATCTGACACTGTCAATACCCACTTGCTCTCTGAAGCCTTGTTGGTACCTCTTTCCAGGGCCAGGGTCACAGAAATCAAAGACAGCCCGGGACAAGCCCTTAGGGGTTTTTACAGGGGAGGGGTGGGTTGTGGGTAATGTGGGTAGGATTGTGCCTCCCATAGCTGAGGGGCTCTGCAATCTCAGATGAACCATCAAGTGGCAGAGGTGGGGAATAGCTCTGCTGGGCATGGGGCTGCCAGTGAGCCACAGGAACCAGCAGTGTGCCCACTCCTCAGAGCCCCTCCCCCTGGCCTTTCTTCCTCTGGGCCAGGCACTGCCTCCCAAGATGCCCCTGCCCCTCCTTGGGGCACCCATCCCACTTAAGAGTTACAGGCAAGGAGGGCAGCAGACCTAGGGCATCAGAGGTGCAGGGCAGCTATGTGCCACCAGGTGGGTGTTCACAGGTCCCCACAGCCCTAGTCTTAACTCCAGCAGGCCCAACCCAGGCCCCGGGCAAACTCCCCTCAGCATCCCTGGGCAGGAGGGATGAGGCTCCACTGCAGAGACAGAATCCCGGGGCTCCCTTTCCTCCCTCCCACCAGCCTGACATGCAGGCCTAACGTCCACTTCCTGGATGAAGAAACCCTGGCCCACTGCAGCGCGGCCTCCCACGCACGCCCTCTTCGGGCACCCCACCCAACCGTCTGCGGCCTGCTCCTCCCCCAAAAGCGCGGCGACCAGGATCCCTGGGGACCCAGTCCAGCTCTAGCCAGACGGTCCTCTTGGTGGTCTGACCGCCGCTGGTGGAGCAGGCTCTGAGGCCGTTGAAGGAGCAGGGCGCAGAAGCGGGCAAGAGCAGTCCCTGGGCGGGGACGGGGACACCGCGAGGGGCTCGCCCCACTCCGGCTGTCGCCTCCCCGCTCTTGAGCCCGC